GGCGGGGAGCCGCCCAGCCTCCGCCGCCATCTGCGTTAGCAGCAGCATGCCTGGGATTCGGAGGAAGCTCCGTACTCTGCCCGGGAAGAGCGCGGTTCCTGCGTCACAAGCCCTGCTCTGTTAGAGGCAGAAGTAGAAACCTCACCTGTGAGAAGCCGCCTTCTTTGGTGCAAACTCATATTCCTCTGGATACCAGCGTCTGCAAGCAGAAAAGAAGAACCTCTTAAAGAAGGAAACCGGGATTCAAGAACACATCCAGTGGCTGCCGCGGGTTCGTTACGATTGGCAGAAGAATTTCGGTTTCACTGGCATCCGGAGAAGCCACGACCCTGCGAGTCGAGCGCCGCCAACGCCAGAGCAGCCACTCGCAGGGCGCTGCGCGGCCGGGTCTGCGCATCCGCCCCAAGAGAACGGACGGAAGACCGAGGCGCTGCGGGCAGCCCCCTCCCAGCAGCCTTTAACCTTGCGTAGGCGTGCGCCGTAGCGGCGCTTAGCGGGCTTCCCTAGCTTATCTTTCAGACGACTGCTCGATTCGGGGAACGTTTACCTGCAGAGCTCTTTGACAGTGCTCACATCAACGATCCTGTAATGAAGATGCCTCATGAACTGAGGCATGTATTTGTCAAGAAACTTCTTATCTGCGTGAACAGAGTTACCTACAAAGACACAAAACAAGATGTTTCGTCAAAGACATTGCAAAGCGACCGCGAACGACATCTAGACGGGAAGCAGGCGGGGAAGGATCACAGGGCGCGCAAAGCTACTCGCAAGCAGCTCGTTTATCCCGTTTTCTCGTAAACACGACTGCAAAGGTTTGCCAGATTTTCACCGCAGGATCACACGGGGTTTAACTACATAATCCCTCTATCGGTTCTTCGGTTACTGCTCCTACAATGCCTGTCACGCAGATAAATATCAAAGCAATACGCAAGCATCGGGTTTTCCGCCAAGCAGGACGGGGTGCTGGGATTCCTCTCCCTGAGCACCATTCCCGAGACCGAACGCGGACGCCCTGAAGGTAGGGCCAGGTAGCAGGACGTTCAGAAGGTCCCCGTTTGGCCTTTGGTTCGATAGGCGGTGAGGAAAAGACGCCGCTGCGTGCTGCTCAGCCTTTATGGCTGCAGATCGCCGTCAGCAGTTAAGCTGCCCGCCCCAATTATAACTGTACACAGAAACGTTAATGCAAAAAGGAACCGAGGTTTCCCGCGGTAAGGACGTGCGGTATCTGCTTTAGGGGATCTGCAGGGCGGATGATGCCCTTACCGAGCCTCTCCTTACTGAACGGGTTTCGACTTGCGTGCCAGCTCTCAGCACAGAAAACTACAGCGTCCCCGCCACGCGCATCAGCGGCCTTCCGGCCTCCAGCTGGGGGCCGCAGGAGGGACAGCACCGTTAGTGCTAAGACCGGACCTTACCTGCAAGGGGACAGAGCCCCGGGGGGGTCTGTTGCCGTACAAAGGACAGAAACTCGTACTCGGCTTGCTGCAATGAAATTTTACTCTCCTTCACAGCCTTCGTAAGGCCAGACTGCAAAAAAAGAGCCATCGGTCATAAGTCAGAAACACGCCGCCACCCAAGGTGCCTCCAGAACAGCAAGAGGGCAACCCTTCGGGCATCGTTCGCTCCCCAGCGTGCCCAGAAGGACCGACTGAGCGCTGCGCGTCAGTATTCTGGGACGTCCCCTCGCCTTCACGAGCAGAGGCGGTGGTAGAAGAGTCTGAACGATGCCGACGCTCCCACGGCTCGGGTTTGGGGTGGGTTTTCCCTTCCCGGCTGCCGTACTTTCTAGGGGTTCACCTCAGTTACCGAGACGTGGCGCAGGCCTCGCCTGTACACCTGCACGTACGGGATCCGGGAGCGTATCGCATTTCTCTCTGCCTAAGGAGAGGCATCCGCCTCCCCGGCACGGAGCGGCAGGTATAGCCAGACAGAAATGATCAAGATCCTGGCTGAAGTGTTTATCGGGATTTCTATAAATCAAAAAAGTTGGTTCCTTCTTTTTTTTTCCATAGTTAAATGTCAAATCTGCCCCAAGTGTTCCCGGTGATTTATTTCCATCTGGCTACGCTATATATTTCCACGACTGTGCCGCAAAAATCTACTTGACAGATCCAAGTGGTGGTTAAAAAATTCATTATGTGGCTGCATTTTCATCTATATTCTAATTGCTTCTCTTTTCTTAGTCAATTAAAACTAAGCAGCTCCTCAGGAGCGGCGGCAACGCGCGCTACCATCTTCGATTCACTCGCAAACTGAAGCCGAGTTCGAGTCCTCAGCTGGAGAAGGGGGAAAGCACCCATCACGGTGAGTTAATATTCATCTTCCAAACTCTTGCTAATCCTTCCCGGGGAGAGCGAGGTGCCGAGGGGATGGGAGGAAGGGAGGGGCTACGGGTGTCTTAAAATTTCAGCCCTTAATTGAAAATTAACTGGAATTTCAATTGGTAACCAGGGACTGGAAAATCCATTTGCGTTCTTGCTACCGGCAAGGAGGAAGCTTTCTTCGGGGGCTGAAAGAACTAAAAATAATCTCCCGCTGCAAAAGTTAAGCTTTCGGCAAAAAAATGCACTAGGCTTACAGGGCCAGGGGGACAGGCAAAAGCAACAATCCCGTGGTTAAGGTAAATCCGCCCGTTGAATTCTACAAGTACCTAAATGTGCAGTGATAAATTTGCATTTTGCCGGCTCAGGACTATTCTACGCCCATCTCACTCCCGCTCTTAGTTGGGACTTCAAGCCACGTCTTCCCCTTCTCCGATGGAATTATTCTTTGAATTATTGTACACGACACGGAACAGGCTTCACAGGGAAGAGCTGTCAGGAGTCCGTCCAACCCGGCCTACAGCCGGCGCTCCTGCAGAGGCAGGCCACGGCCGACAGCCCAGCGAGTTGAGCCCGACTTCCTAACCTCACGCCGAGACGCAGGAGGCTGAGCCTCCGCCTCTGAAGATGGGAACCAGCGGCACCATCCGAGCGACGGAGCCTGCTCCCAGGCCCACGACGGGCGCCTCGCCCTGCCTGCAGCTCTCCCGCGAGCTCTCGCTCCGGCCGCCTCGGGGGACCCCTCGCTAGCCGTTGGCCTTTGCTGATGCTGCTGGCTCTTGAGTTGGGAAGTAGCTTCCAGCCCTGCCCAAACTTATTAAAAACCAGGCTACGAAGCGCGGGCTGCTTCAGGGCGATCTCGCAGCTGAGATAGGGGATGAAGACTACAGCTACACGAACGTGGTTCACAGCTGTGCCACGGATGGCTTGCGAGACCCAGGGCAAAGCGTCACGCCTCGGCTCCTCGGTACAAAATAAGGACCTACTGCCTCCCAGTCGTTACCTCCTCTCTTTGGCTGTTGAGCAGAGGCGCTGGCCCTTTTTAGGTGACCTGCAACTAATAATTCTGAACCACGCGTTCCTCTCGCCGTTGCAAAGAAAGAGACATCCTAGCGTGACCGCTCGAGGAGGGTTACCTTCCCGTGGTGCTCCTTGCACCACTCGGACATGCCGTCCAGCAGCTCGTCGGGCTGATTAATGATCAGGTTGGGGCCCTGTGGGGAAGAGAAAAACACCGGAGGCGATCGCAAAAAGCACAGGGGGAAGCGGCTGCTGGGGCGGGATCGGCCCCGAGGGGCCGGGCTGCCCTGCGGGGCCGGGGGGAGCTGCTCGGC